TTTGATCGGTGAATGGAAGAGGTCATTTGTTGGACTTTTTTTTTTTTTTTCCTAAATGCCTGTGTGTACCTGGGACTTCTTGCTTTTCCTGAGTCTTTTAGTCAATTGATTCTTACCCTGAGGCTTTTGCCTAAAACATGAGGATGTGTTAACTCAGGCGGAGACCTTTTTTATTATTTCATATGTCTTCTGTTTTATGGTTATTTTATGTGGTACATACTTGCTGTTTATGTTTTCATGCCTATTCTGTACCTGTTCAGTTTTCTGTATGATGCTTTTTGAGTTGTGTACAATAGCACTGTGTTTGGCAAAACAATCTGTTATTAAGGGTAGGATGCAAATGTCATTTGACTATGTCTTTGTTATTGTGTAAAAATGTTTTCATTTCCCGACAATGTTGCCGCTCTTTCTCTGTTTTCTTACTGTCTGTAGCACCCTTTTATCACTTTTCAAAGCAATAGCTGAAGTCCAAAATAGAAGAAATTACTTGTTTTGTGTATCTTTGGGTTTCTCTCTCCCATCTTTTTGCAGGTAGCATCATAGTGGACAGGGAGCTGCTTTTAGGACCACAGATAAAGCACTCTCACCATTCTTTTGTACTCAGTAATTGTAACAGCCCTTTTTGGCCATTCTCTGGTATTTCGAAACACCTTTCCAAAACACTGCTGTAATTAGATTGTTACCATGGTGTTCTAAAATTTCCAGTCTTTGCAGCATAGAAGAAAATCAGTCTAGCCACGCTTGTGTATTGATTTACACTGTATATTTCAGGTAGTATTGTGGCTATTTTAAATATCCTCCACCCTATTTACAAGAGATTTTTTTTCCCCTCCTTTAGTAATAACATGCTGTCTCTGAAGTTTTCAAATGTCTAGTGCCTGCCAATTAGCTGGCACTGTAGCAAGGCAAGCCTGTTGCCATGGAGCTTTGGAGTGTTTTGCCAGTCAGTATACCTGCAACTAGAGAACCTGTTAAATGATCACTTTGTAGGAGTAGCTTCTTCAGGGTGGAGGAAGATTAAGGAGGGAAGAAAAAAAAAGGGGGGGAGGGCGGGGGAGGAAAAAAGGAAGATAAATGAGCAAGGGACTTAAGAAAAACTCATTTTTCTCCCAGTAGGCTTCCGTCATATGCTTCTGCCATGGCAAATTGCCATTTCCTTTAGGAATCTGGTCAGGCGATTGATGTTGATCTGTAGAGCTGTAGATGCATGTATGTGGTTGCATTTGCTTGCTTTAATGTTTTTCCCTCTTCTCAGTTTTCTTTTGCTTTTCTGTGGTTTAGTGTCATGTTAGCATGGTGAGAGGCATGGCCAAGGAAGATGCATCACATGGCTGTGTGAGCACTTGGGGGAAGGATGCATCAACAAACAGCAATGCTTCTAGTGCCAACTTCTTGTTCAGTTATGTCAGTCAGCAGGATGCTGATGCATTTCAAGAAACAGCTTAGCTGCTAGATATCTATTTAATAATTCTGCAAAAAAGTCTATTTTTAATTCAACTCTTCTACCCAATTTTCTTCCCTTTTCACCTGGAAATTTGGTGTAGCTGATCTGTAGCTGTTTGTCTCAGTGTTTGTCTCTGGAGGCTGGAGCTGATTGCTGTCTTACTAGGAGTCTAATCTTATTGCACTACCACTTCTTTATTTCAGTTGTTAATCTATTCAGTGCATCTGTTTTTCTTAGTCATGTAATGCTGTTTGATTCCTCTATACAGGCATTTTCTTTTGGATATTGTGTTCTATGCAAAAATGCAGAGATTTTGTTATTTTTCTTTGGAATATATACATGATGCTATAGAATGTCTTTGTCTACGAGGTTATTCCTATTCCGTATGACCTACTGTTCTGTTTACTTTAAGCGATTTTTTTTTTTTCAGTGAAAGTTGTATCATTATGTAGTTGTGCTACCCTTAGGGTTTTGTTATCACATAAGTGGTTTGTTTGCATATAGGCTTACTTTCTGTCCATTTAAATGAAGGTATGACTTTTGTAACTGCTTTGTGTCCTGCCTGTGAAACCTGTAGCTTTTGGTTAAGATCAGATAGCATCCATGTCATTTTGTGACTGTAATTGTTTTGGTTTGCTTCCCTGAAACCTGAAATTACCCATTCAAGTGTAGCTGTAGTACAGGAAAAGGAATGGCCATTCAGTTAGAATTGACTAGTTAGTTTCCGTGAAAGGTAGGTTCCTTGATTTATGTCACTGGCTTTGGGGTTTCATTGCTTTTTGACTTTTGACTGCTGCTTTTTCCTGTTGATTATTGAGCACCTTCCACTTCACCTCATCAGAAAGGGTGCAAAATATCTTCCTGGTTAGCAATATCAGGTGGTATGTCACTGTGCTTGTTTCTGAGTTCCTAGAGGTATGGATCTCACTTGGAGACACCACAATGTCTGTGTAAGCAGCACATGGGTTAAATGTATCAGGTAGTACATTCCTCACTTAGTTCTGTGCTGATGTGCTTCTTTCTGAAGAATATTGGCTTATGGAGTGGCAGCTGTTAATGCAGATGTTCTAGAGGAATCCGCTGCTGATGTGTGATGTGTGCAGATGGTTTTGGATACTTGTCAGTCTATTGGTGTGATATCTGAGCTTCTGAGTCATGGAAATATTTTTCCTTTCCACCATCTCCTGGGGAAATTTGATACCAGACTGACTGGATCAACAGATCAGATAATGGCAACATCTAGGTATTCATGGGACTGCTTGGTCAAACAACATTTGTACTCGTAAAATGATATGGGACAAAAAATAGATAACAATGACTTCAAAAATGCACATTTTAAGTTATGCCTTCTTTGGGACTCATAGTACTACTCAACTTCTCTGATGCTTCAGTATCTCCTGGTTTGTCTTCCTCAGGTAGCTGGGTATGGAGCTAACCTGTATGTCACTCCCAAGGATTCTAGGAACCACTTGTTATGGTTCATAAGGAAACGAACATTGTCTTAATACCACCTCCCAGCTGCTGCCAGGTCATGACACTTGATGCAAACACAAGCTACCTTGTATGCAAGGAAATTTAAAATCCTTTGATGTGAAAAGTAATTGTTTCTGTCGCTAGCTCTAAGAGCCTTACTGACATGCAAGATGCACGTTAGTCGTGTAGTCACTGTGTGGTCTGTTTTCAGAAGAGAATGCCTGACAAAAGGGCTTTTTGGGGGGAATGATATCAGGCTATGAAATTAGTTTTTGCTTTCTGGTAGTCTGTGCACTAGTGATGATTATAGCTATGAGGTTTGACTTAGAATTTAGTTTTGAAAGGGGCTATTTGGACTTGGACCTTTAAGATTCCTGTAGCTAGAATTTGAACGTGCTTGGACATGGATTTGATGTAGGTTGCACTTGTACAGTAAACCCTTTCTCAGCCCTTTTCTCACTTTCCTGATTCGTTGAGATGTTTGAATATAAGCATTTTCTTTCTCACACTCCAGCTGCTTCTTTACCCTCTTCTACAGTCAAGCTGTAATCCTTTGGTTTTGATATTGAAGGCTGTTGCCATGGAAATAATTGTGATTCCACAAACTCAGGGCTGTAAGCACTGCAGGAAGCAATGGAAAAGGTGGTTGGCAAAAGGTACACCGAGGACATGGGGGCAGTTCTGAGGAACTGCTTCTAAACCTCTCGTTTGAGATTTTCTGCCCTCTCCTTCCCCCCCGCCTTTTTTTCTTTGTGTGTGTGTGTGTGTGTGTGTGTGTGTTTTGTTGGGGTTTTTTTGCTTTGGTTTTTTTTTTGTTTTTTTCTCCTGTAAATTTTTATTAATGGTTGAAGCTTAACAATTTGGTATATTCCGAAGTTGCTTGGAGATCTTATTTCAAAATGATGCAATATATTCTTTTTCTTGTACTCCGTATCAGAATATAATGATTTCTTTGCTGTCTGCAATAACTCACTTTTGGAAAGAGGGCAAAGTCTTTAAGCTAAGCATGTTATGTATTTAGCCTGAAGATACCCCTTGCAGGAAAACCTATTTTTCATAAATAGCTAGATCAACGCTCACTAATAAGCAAAATAGTGATTGCGACAGGCAGATGCACTTAAAGCTGTCTGTGATTGACAGCATTAAAACCAAATATATCTGATATTTATTTTTTAGTGTGCTCTGCATTCAAACAAGTGCAGTCCTGAAAGTCATTTAATGCAGCATCTGTTTTTAACATTATTTTGATCCCACAACTATCCTGAAATCTATTCTCTAAATTGCACACACCCTTAAAAGCATAATAAAACTTACTGGAGGAAATCCACTTTGTTACAAAATAAATTGAATTGGCAGCTTCCACAAGCTGAAAGCAAGTGACGCTCAGGAGCCAAGATTCTGCCACTGTATATTTGAAAGAATCAAATAGCTGTTGTTTTCAGGTATTTACAACAACTTTTGATTAGCATAGTTAGAAAATAAATATTTGTGGCTTTTAAATTAAAATCATAGTATTAATTTCTGATCTTTAGTAGGATTTAATCAATAATGGATGTGACAATTAAAAAGTTAGGGTATTTTTAATTAAAAAAAAATAGAAATATTTTAGCCCGTCAGATGCGTTAAAGTGATCAAGGAATTTCTCTAAAATTATTTTGACCTTTTTCTGCTTAGTTACTTTATAAATGAAGCTAATAAGATCAGAGGAACAAGGAATGTTAAATATGACTGACTTTACTGGACATAAATGGACATAAATACCAGATATTTATCCTTTTTAAATTTGAGATTAATGTGGGTTTTTTTGTTTGTCTCTCTCTCTCTCTCTTTCTCTCTCTCTCTCTCTCTCATTTAAAGACAGCCTGTGAAAAAGTCAGTGAGATGATGAATATATGGATTTATGTATTTTTTTATTATTATTATTCCTTTCTAGTCAAGTTGTTTAAAACTCTTGGGAAGTAGCCATTTAGTAGGATCTGACTGATATATCAACTTCTCTGAGATAAATGAATTTGAAGATCTTTGTTTCCTCCATGGATAGCCAGCAGACGTTTCCGTGCTTGACTGCTTGTTTCTGTTACAGGTGCATGTGACAGCATTGCAGCTATGAGTGGAATTTTAAAGAGGAAGTTTGAAGAAGTTGATGGCTCTTCATCCTGTTCCTGTGTGTGGGAATCAGATGATGACATTTCTAGCAGTGAAAGTGCTGACAGTGGAAATAATGTTCATCCATCAGCTTCTAATCATTTTATCCGTAAGTACTTAAGTGGTGTGTAAGCATGATCCTCTATTTTACATGACCTAAGAAAGAAAGAAATGCAGTGTAAATTATCTGTATTTGTGTTGAAGCTTTCTTCTGGTTTTGTTACATTTCAGTGTTCCTGTTTAGGAAAAAGCAACTTTTTTTTCTAATAATTCTTTATGTGAAAACTCGTAGTTGTCAAAGTGAGATTCAGAAGTAACTTCACTTTTTTATTAATTCGTTTACATCTAGAGAGATTAAAATGTTTCAAGTTTGAGAGCATTTTCTCTTTTGGGTGGTGATTTGGTTGAGGAGGGGTTATCAGCAGCAACTTGGCTTGAAGTCCAGTGCTTTTTTTTGTCGCTGGCAGTTCAGAATTGAGAATATTCAGCGCTATCTGCTGTTTTAGAATAGCTAATCCCTATGGTTATCCACCATACTTCCTGAGCCAGTGCAACCACATAGCCCTCTGTCCTTTTTTTTCACTCCTCACAGGAGTAAACTTGGTGTAATTCTTCCTCACTGGAGTATTAGGTCTGCAGTTGATGGCTATATGAGATGCAGAAAGAAAGCAAAAATTTTTTCCTTGTTGCCACTCAAGACCCAGCTGAACATAAATAGTTAATTTACAGCATGTTTTCTTAACTTGCAGGTTGACTTTTCTGGTTATGGAACTTTTGTAATTTATTAAATTACCTAAAGCCTTAAATCTGCAGAAAATCATAACAATAAGTGACCTGAACTACTTCTGAGAATTCTATGTGCCTGAGAATATGTACCTGCAAATATGCACCTGCTAAAAGAATATCACTCTTTTTAATTGCTTATCTTACAAAGCTAGGCTAGGGTAATTCGTGAATCATTACTGGAAGTATGGTTAGTGTAGTTGCTTACCTGAAAATAGAAAGAAAAAGGTCTGCGGGTAGCCTTGTTTTGCTTCATCAATTTGCTAGCTCAAGCATCTGCCAGCTCTGGTAGCTGACTGTTCCCTTTCCCTGCCAAGTGTATGCACCCTATGTGCTCCTTTGATTTGTGCCTGACCTCTCCAGGAGCAGAGAGGAGCTAGTGCTGAGAGGTTTTGAAAATCCAAGTTTTCTTCCAGAGCTTAAAATGCTAGTGAGAAGAACAGAGATTGGGAATTGTTTGAGATGAAGGTAGATGCAAGGACTCCTTCTCACCTCCCTCCCCCAACTCATTACGCTGTTCTGATTGCATTTGAGGCCTTTGTTGTTGGCTCATGAACTTGAACTCCTTGGTTTTGCAATGGGGTTTTCAGAATCTGGAATTTGTTCCACTTGGCAGCTTGCCAGTGCTTCAGCCTAGTGAATAGACTTTAGGGCATAATGCAGATGCATTTATTTCGCTTGCTTTCATTTGTTTTACCTTTTTATGTGTGTTTTTTTTGTGTGTGTGTGTGTGTATTTTCATTTCATTGTTTCATTCCTGACAAAGCTGCAACTTATTTGCTCATGTTTCTGTAAGCAATGGCAGTAATTAATGCAGTTCTGAGGACCTACTTTGTAAGGTTTTTGTGGAGGAGAGGAAAAAAAAAACCAACACACCCACAGAACCCCTAAAACCCTGACTGCTATAACAGTAGATTTTATAATTCACAAAGCAAATAAATCAATTTTGTGTTTTTGTGAAGATGAGAGAACAGAGAGATTGAATCTAAGCAGCATGGCTTTCCATAGTTGCACAATTCAGCACACTGTCAGAATAGAAGGCACATCTACCTCTTAGAGTTGTGTTTACATAAGGTGATGGAGAATCAGGTTTATAATCCAGGAAAACGCAGTAGTTCATGTAAACTAGCTCAAGAACTTCTGACTACTCTTCTCTTTGTGACTCTAAGGAGAATTTTGCAATTGCTTTATAAAGATATGATACTAAAACAGTTTAATTTCTCTGATTTTGCTAGTACTCATCAGTTGTATAAATATACTATTTTCTCAGGAAAATGGGTTGAGTGGTTACTGCAAAAAATTTTTACTTGGAACAGGTTGTTCTGTTCTGTTTTGTTTTTCCTTCTCACAGGTTCTGACATATGACTGTATTTTGTACCAGAACCCCTTTCTTCTCAGACAAATACTAGAAGCAGATGATCTCAGATTCTCATTTTAAGAACCCAGTTCTCTATCATTATCAGTTAGTCATTAGCTTCTACAAAACCCAGATATTAAAATCCATTAACAGGCTGTGATCTCTAGATGTACTAAAGGAAGTCAGTAAAATATTCAGAAAATAGAGATTTTATGTGGGAGATCAATATTTGAATACAAGGCAAAACATGCCTCTAAAAACTCTACTGGAGACAAGTGTATCTTCCCTAGCATATGCTATATGCACAGTAGCAGGCTTTTAAAATCTGTAAGATGCATTTAACCTTATCTGAGATCACCGTCTAATTCTTTTCTCCTCGGTCCACTTTGTGCCATAGTGTGGTTATTCTGTACGCATGTTCCTTCAACTTGAGGCTCCTGCTGTGTGCACAAGGCCACGTTGCTCTTCAGAAAAATCTAAATCAATTAATATGAATTCCTCTCTTATTGATACCTATACCGATTCATTTCTTCTCCAAGGGATGGCAGAAACACGTAACAGCAACCTAAAAAACATTATTATGCCATGAGCTCTAGTAATCCCTGTCATTACGTAGTAATTCTTTGTGATAGTAATATTATAGCAGTATATCATAAGTTGCACTTAGATTAAGACTGCTGTTAATTATTAATGCTGAGCATTTTACATTAGTGTGTATATTTCTTCTGTAGTGGTAGCATATTTTTTCGAAATTAAATTTTGGGCATACTCAAATCAATTAAATGATTACAGTGGTATTATATTTAGATTATATTTCCTTGGTGATGTACACGGGATATGAATATCCTTTAAATATATTATAAATTTATATGTGTGTTTGTGGGTATATGTAAATGTACAGTAAATCTAATAAAGATGTATATTTGGAAATACTCATTACTTATTTACATGTAAAATGTGTATTATGGTAGCATAGAGTTGAAGAGGAGAGTGAGAAGCTATAGTATTTTTTTTGTGTATTATGGTTATTTCCTTTTCGGTAGGATGGTTTCTGCTTAAGGGCAAATGGCTGGAGTAAGCTCCTCCTGTTGGGTAGTTACTGCCAAGTAAAAGATTAGAAGAATTCTTCTGTGCAGCCTGTCTCTCTTATCTAGGAGATGGAGATTGAGAAGCTGCTGTAGCCCTTGTTAGCCAAGAACAGAATTTTACTTCTGTGTGTGGCATGGGAGGAGCCTGAAACAGTGTTTGACATGGAGCTGGGCCTCCTTGGTTGGAGCAGAGGGATGTAGCTTATTACGTCATCTTTATTATTATTATTATTATTATTATTTTTTTATAGACTATGTAGGAGTCAGAGACCTGGTCGATTCTGTAGTTAAAATCACTGAAGCATTTCTAGTATGAAAACCTGTACCAGGAAACATTTTCCTTTATCCCATTTTTATGTCATGACTGATTTTCTCAGCTTTTCTAGTTTCTATAGTAACCATGATTTTTGATTCGTTAAGAGTAATAATGGTATTCAAAGTATAATGGTTTTTTATCATTACATACTTTTACCTAAGTAGTGTTTTTTTATACCATATAGTATTTTTTCCATCAAAGGAATAGAGTGAGCCCAGCCAAGATGCTGTTTAAATACGAATTCCTGTTTGTGATGGACTCCACATATACTGTGTTTTTTTTTTTTTTTTTTTTTTTTCCCAGATAGTACACATGAGAAAATGGTCTTATTAAAGTTGCTGAATAACATTCTGGCTTAACAAGACACAGGCCTAAGCAATGCAGCAGGCTATTTTCCAAGATTGCCTGGCAATTTTGCAATTCATCAGCAAAGTGATAGTTGGGAACTAACAGTGAAATTTCATCAGGTGAGAGTCTACAGAAAGGAGAAGTCTAAGGAAATAAATTGCTGGGTTATAAGAGAACAGAGAGAGTGATCAGACTGAGATGGCAGAGTGCAGAGCAGAGAGCACCAGCTCTTTTGCTTTTTCTTTTTTTTTTTTTTTTTTTGTTAGTATAAGCAAGAAAGTGGTGGTAACAGATTTCACTTGATAAATATGTCAGTTTACAGCAAGGGCTACAGATTAGCTGGCTTGTAACTGGGAAAAGAGGGAGAGCTAATGAACAAAATGGGAATGAGCCAGCTTATGAAGATCAAAAGAATTTAATGTTCCAGCAGTTTACAAATTCTTAGTCAAAGTGACTCATCTTCTTTCATTACATTCATGTGTATGTAGCATATTTCAAAATATCTAGTAGTATCAGAAATTTACTGGAAAATGTTGTTTGGAATTCTGCAATACTTGTGGTTTTGGTCCTTATTTATTAGCTAGAGGAAAGCCCCTTGTGCTAGAGATATATTTATGAGTATTAGTCCCTATTGTACTGAGTGCAGATCTGGAACCATTGTTTGCAGGCAGATATGAAATCCATAGATCAGAATGAGGGCAGCATGATGTATGAAATGAGATTTTTCTGAACTGCCCTTCTCTGAGAATTTTGCTAAAAATTAAATATTATGGTTACATTTTTGTCCTTGATTTGTGGTGCGAAATAGAAAGTAGATTAGCAATTGAAGTATACCAGATCAAATTTAAGCCGTAATTTGGGAATTTGACATAGCAGATGCATTTCAGATGCAATTACAATATGCAAAATAATATGAATTGTAATGAGTTGTATGAATTTAATAGTTCTTGGAAATAACTTAAATGAATGGCATGTGTAGCTTCTTTTCTGTGGACATGTATATACAATTTAAACAACATAAAATCATAATGGCTCTGATTTTATTGATAAAGAGACAGTAACTTAATCCACAGTCTTTATAAGCCTTACATAAAATCTTGTTTTTCAACTAACTGTAAGCTAATTGAGCTAACCTTTAGCTATTTTTTTCCAGCAGCCTTTTCTGGAGACAATGCAAAAATAGAAAAGTAGATGGGTTTTCTTTTAGTGAAGACTTC